AAAAACTTAGATATTTGTACTGATAACTGTCTCTGGTTTTCACTAATCGCGTCCTTAAAGTTTTCTAACTTGCAGACAGCATCCTCTCTAGTTCCGCCAATATTTCACTTTGTGAAATGACGCACTGACTAGTCAATGTTTCCGACTCCTTGATGATGAAAATTTAAATTTGAACGTTCCGTCTACGTCCGAAGCTAGAATGACATAATAACAACCACCCGTGTCCTACCCCACACACATGCTCCAACCTCATTGGACAATACCAAATCGCACGAATTACTCGCCCTAATACGATCTTCACGTACCTATAGGACAAATATTACGCGCTATTCTCCGAAACACGCGCAAATGTAACAATCCATATGTGCAGTAGATTTGGTTGTAATCACTATCAGCAGATTATATAATCTGTATGTTCATGCAGTTAATTTTGTATACATGTAGCTGTAACATCTTGGATGTAGGAGAATTATAGATAAATTATACTCATCTGATAGGCCTTACAATTTACTAATTGATGTTATAACACTCTTATTTTATAACAAAACACTGAAAATAAAGATAAAAACACGTGTAAAATAATAAAAATAAATAATAATTTCGAAAACCTCCTCAAACAAAATTATGTTTTGTCTGTACACTAATTTGTGTAAATAAATTTCCCCCAAGGGGCCCCACTGAAAACGGACAAAACAGACGTGAACGAAAGGTGTCAGGTGTATACGCACGTGCAAATGTTCTTTGCCGATAGCCACCCAACCATGACCGTTCTTGATAATGGGTAACGATATAGTAGCCCCACACAGGGTGGCGGTCGGCAATTTCTACATGCGTACACACTGTAACCACTCGAGCTCATCTTCAATATTTAGAATTAATTTAAATTTCGTATTTGATGAATTTAGAAATCGATTTGAAATCCTTCTTCTTACATTTAAGGTTCTGCTCAAGTCAAAATTGTTGCCTATAATGAGCCACAGAGAAACCATGTTTTTAATATAACATGTCCCTCTTTGACAAATCAGTCAGTATTTTTAAAAAGATATTGAAACAATGTCCCAGTTCAGTAATTTGACTCTACCAATGAAGAGTTAATTTACTACCACAATCCCATTTTTAGCTCAATAATAGTATCAACACATTGTTATTTCTTGTGAGAAATGCAATGTGTTTGTTTTAGTTCAAAATACAATAACTTTAACATAAAGCATTACCTTGATACCAATTCTAGGTGCTCCGGATATTAGTTTTTCTACTTTCATTTATTTTAGTAGATTATTTGCTATATTTCCCATAGTCTTACCATTGACATGGAGGCCGCCATGTTGGTTTCACTATTACAATCATCAATTATATTTAGATGTTCATTCCCTGTCGCCGTCAGACTCTAAACGGAAGTCACACAATTATTCCGCACCAATTTTTTTTTTTTTTTAATTTGATATGCAAGTATCAAGTATATGCAGTAATTCCATTTAAGATAAAATATAGATTACTAAATAGTGTTTTCTTTATTTCGATCCGTAAATACTTTATTTGTTCCTTTTTAGAAACAGAACTCTTTAGTGTGAGAGCAGTTCCGGCGGGTGGTGCGTCCCTATTCACAAACCCTTTTCAGTGGCTGAGTCGTGACAGAAACGAAGTAAAGGTGTAATATATTATTGTTTGGTGTATGTAAAGTGTTGTGCTTAATTGATTGAAGATCGCAAGTTGATGCTAAGAAATAAAGGATGTATTTAGACTGTCAAGCAACACGCTTGACGTGAGCTGTCAAAAACATTCGGTGCAACAAATCACCGAAACGGACCGAAACTGACCGAATCGAACCGAAACAGACCGAATCGGACCGAAACAGAACCGAATCGGGACCGAAACGAAAGGTATTCGATTATTCCAAGCGAATATTACATTTCAATACAGGAAACAGTTTTGAATAATGTTTGTGACCGTGTGTGAACAGAACCATACCAAAACTATTTTGGTCCGATTCGGTCCAATTGGTCCGTTTCGGTGATTTGTCTCACCCGAAACACCTCCGATAAACATTTTTCATATTATTTATTTTGTTTACTTTATCTCATTTATGTTAAAATGGGTTTTAACTAATGGTTTTAAATAACATAAGTTTATTGAAGGATATTAGCAAAAAAACAACCATTATACTATTTATATGGAACCCCGACCTAACCATGTGCCATGATGTGGCAGTTCTCGAGATAGAAATTCATATACAGGGACGATTCTGGACATATAATTTGCTATATATTTGCTCAAAATATGGGTACATCAAGGAAGAAGACTAAGAAAAGGTTTGGGATGTCAACAGGTATCAATTTACTGAAACGTAAAACTGGTCGACCAGGGAGACCGAAATATACATTTGTTATTGACAAGAATACCGGCAAAACTATACCAGGCCCAAGTTCAACTTTATCATTGAAGTTTTACAGAAAGAGGATATTCCAAATTAGAACTCTGCGCTCAGCAAACAGAGCACTTGTGTCACAAAATTCGGTAAAGAAAATATATAGCGTGTGCAATGCATCTGAAAACAACTCAATCAAACTTGAAATAAGTAGAGTGAATAACTTATGTGGAAATGGATACAGGTTTGTCAATCTTGATTGTCTTCAACAACATGTGACGTCTATAACTCTACATGCTTGTCAGTGTGAACATGCGTTGTTGTTGTCAGCGAAAGGTGAAGCCCCTATAAAATTAGTGTCTGAGCAGCGTACACTTGGGTTGGCAAGTGTTTTGTTAGCAGAGTGTCAAGGATGTCGTCAAACATTTACTTTTGAAACAAGTCCGAAGCTTCCTCATTCAAGGAGATTTGATATTAATGTAAGGGCAGTTTGGGGGAGTATTGTAACAGGTGATGGACCTGCTCATATGAATGAGTTTTTGGCAACACTCGACTCGCCAGGTATGTCACAAACATCATTTTCATCAATTGAGGAGGAGATAGGTGAGTGGTGGAAGAATGCTTTGCAAACCGAGTTGCTACTAGCGGGCGCAGAAGAAAGACAGATTGCCATTAACAAGGGTAACTACCATGGGGACGTTCCCAGTATCACAGTGATTGCTGATGGTGGATGGTCCAAACGGACCCATAAACATAGCTATAATGCGCTTGGTGGTGTTGCTATTATTATTGGACAGGAGACCAAAAAACTGCAGCATATTGGTGTACGCAATAAATACTGCTATATTTGCAATAGTGCACAACAGAAACAGCAACCAGCAAAACTCCATAAATGCTTCAAAAACTGGAATGACAGTAGCCAGTCTATGGAGGCTGACATAATTGTTGAAGGGTTTTGTCAATCTGAATCAAAACATGGTGTCCGCTATATGAGGCTGATCGGGGATGGTGATTCGTCTGTCTTCGCTAGGATAAGGGAGCAAGTCCCAATTTGGGGGAAAGATGTTGAAAAACTTGAGTGCTCAAACCATGCTTGTAAATGTGTACGCTCTAAATTAGAGAAACTTGTGGCAGAAAATCCGGCCTACAAGGGCAAACACCATCTCACCAAGATAACAAGAGTGAGAATTGTAAGTACAATACGGTGTGATATTCGCATGAGAACAAATGAGGCTACTTCAAGTGGAAATAGACAGTTAGCAGTAACAAATCTGAAACGTGACATCATTCAGTCAGTCTATCATGTTTTTGGTCATCATGACAACTGCTCGGACTTCTGCAAGGCCAAACCTAAAGCAGATACTGCATCGACATCATCAACTGAAGTAGGTTCTTCACAGTTAACAGTGGAAACGGTCGAAGATGTTATAAATGACCAGGTCAAAATGTGGTCAGAAGGATCCTCCGTAACGGCACAGGACGAGTCCCGCTTAGGAACATCTACAGTTTACAGTAAGGTGGAGAAGTTCATCCTCCAAGATGTGTCAAACATCCTGTCCACCATTGCAGACAAAAGCAGCAGACTTATTGGATGCATGACAACCAACCTAGCGGAAAGTTGGATGCATATCCGTTCCAAATTCGATGGTGGCAAAGTATATAATTTATGTAATAGAGGATCGTGGCATGGAAGGTGTTATGGGGGTGCACTACGTATGAATCTAGGGCCACAATGGTCTCCAAAAGTGTGGAAAATGTCAACTGCAACTGAACCTGGCAACAAATTCACCAGTTTGTATGAAAAAAGGGAAAGATTGCACTTCAACACAACTGTTCACAAATCAAAGCCAGAAACAAAGACAAAAAGATGGAAGAGAAAGATTAGTAGCGTTGCACAGTCCAACACAAAGAAAGCCCGACTATCATATGGACCTGAAGCTTTAGATGTGTCCGATGATGTGATACCTTCAGAATTGGATGATCTTCAGAACACTTTCATTGAAACAAACATCAACTTAACCTGTGGTAAGATAAAGGAAATTGAGAAGGCAACACTCCATCAGTCTCAGTCTGGCTTGTGGCATGATGAAAGAAGAAAGAGATTAACAGCATCCAATTTTGGCCCTATCGTTCGTCGAAATCCTGCTTTACCTGTCTTAAGTATAGTCCGAAAACATCTCTACAATAAATTTCAAGGAAATCGTTATACAAAAAATGGATTACTTCAGGAACACAACACTTTAGAAGAATATAAATTAAAAAAAGCAGAGGAAAACATGAATGTGGAAATTGAACCTGTTGGGCTGGTTATTGACAAGAAATACAAATTCTTGGGAGGAAGTCCAGATGGTAAAGTTTGTGTCGGTAATGGAGAGGTTGGATTGGTGGAAGTAAAGAATGTCCTTTACAACAAAGCATTGACATTATATCAAGCTGCAGAAAGTCAGAAGTAATTCTGTCTAGAAATTAAAGGGGCAAACTATCCCTACGAGAAAAACATGACTATTTCTTCCAATGCCATGGGTTGTTGAATGTGTGCGACTATCCCTGGATAGATTTGGTTGTCCGAACATGTGATCCTTATCAACTACACATCCAGAGAATTCATCGGAATAAGGAATTTTGGGAACGAAACATGCTCCCTAAACTTACAGGTTTCTATCATAAGGTTCTGCTCCCTGAATTAACACTTCCAAGAGAAGGAAAAAGTCCAGGAATAAGAGAACCAGGTATTTGGGTGAGTTTAAACATTAAATTGGTATATAACAGGATAACATGTTGAATGTTAACAGTCATCTGTAAAACTCTGTACTGGTTAAATCCATTACATGACTAGGGTCCGTACAGACCTTGAAAAGGGCTTAGTTTTGAGAGGGGTGCTTAGAAAGAAATACTTAGAAATTATCCTGTGCTTAGTTTTTACATGGAGTGGTTGAAAAATGCTTGTGATTATTGTTTTCCTGTACATGTAAGTATGTCTCCATTTTAATTACAATATTTAAACAAAGTAATTAAAAATAAAAATAGGGAAATGTGTATTCACTGATTACTTGTTAATATGAATTATTACACTTATTTAATTTCTAAAATAATGAAGTGGTTTTAAAGCACATCCCTCCTGTTTCTAGTCATTTTTCTGTACGAACCCTGCTTTAATATGATTAATATGTATAAATATTCTTTCAAATGTTAAAACTCTACACTTTCATTTTTTTAATTTTGATTCTGACATTTACATCATTGTTATTTCAGTATGTTGATTTAACAAGCAAGAAGCCAACAACTGCAAGTAGATGAAAAACACCAACAGACGATGAATTTGACTCTACAGGAAGAAAGAATGCAGCCAACAGAAACAGACCGTCTCTAAGGTACATTGTAACAGTAAGATATTATATCAAAACCCTAAAAATTGTTAACATTATTGATAAAAAATCTATAAAATCTACAATAGAAACATATGCATCCTAATTCCTGTATTCAGGTATAATTTACATAAAGCACGTATACGTTTTCAGTGTTAAACTGCTACTAGACAATATATAAGCAATATGAATAACACCTGGATTACAGGTTAATAGTCTAAGAATGAAATTGGTTCCATAATCTATGACAAATCATAAGGAGACTGCATTGACTGGAATACAAATAGTCTTTATTTAGAAAACAGAAAATGGAGATACCTAATATTTCCTAGTTTCTCACAATGTATGGATTTGACTTTAGTTTAGTGTTATATAAGTATGAAAATTCGAAAATTCAAATATTTACAGGAAAGGGAGAACGAAGACCAAGAAGACACCTTCAGGTAGAAGAAGCAGTACTGATGCAGCCAATATAGTGACAACTCCATCACTAAGGTACATGCAATTAAAGCATATTATTTTATCTGTTTAATTATGTCCCTTCATGACATTCCCTAATCATATAATGTTTGTGGTGAAATAAATATGAATAAGTATGATGTTTCCTAGATTTGTATTTTTACTTCATAGGTCTAGTTCACGAGTCTCAAAAGTGAAATTTGTTGGAAGAAGTGTAAAACACCAGTGGATTATTGATGCAGCAACAGATCAACGTGAATGGTATAAGGGTACAGTGTTGAGTGTTATTTCTGGTGTTGACGGTGAGGACAATGGAGTTTATGAAGTTATATATCAAGGAGAGCAAGAACCGGTCGAAGTTGACCATTTGCTTGAGGACTTCCGATCTTCATCCTTGNGTTTCATTTCCGCTATTTCTTATATTCAGAAAGTCTCTTGATCAAGGAATTTATCCCAATTCCTGGAAAAAAGCTTTAGTCATGCCCATTTTTAAGAAAGGCGATAAACAATGCCCCAGTAATTATAGACCAATAGCTTTATTAAGCACTGTAGGGAAAGTTTTTGAAAAAGTTATTACCAATCTGGATTTCAGCCATTTCACTCTACAGTGCATCAACTAATTGAAATTTATCATAATGTATGTATAAATCTAGAAAACCGTCATCATACCTGTCTTGTTTTTTGCGACATTTCCAAAGCTTTTGATCGGGATTGGCATGCAGGTCGTGTACACAAATTAAAAAGCTATGGAATTAATGAAAATCTTTTAGACTGACTATCCGATTATGTACAGAATCGCCATCAACAAGTCTTCATCAACAATGCTACTTCTCATACTAAAATAACTAATGCTGGTGTACCCCAGTGTTCTGTCCTAGGTCCGCTTCTTTTTCTCTTGTATATCAACGATATAACTGATAACCTTGACAACCCTTCCCATCTTTTTGCTGATGATACTTCCCCATCCGTCTCTTCTCCTTCCGCAATTGAACTTGAAACTACTAATAACCGAGATCTTGAAAAAAATCATTACTGGGCAGAAAATTGGCTTGTTAAATTTAATCCTAATAAACTGAAGCACTACTTATTTCAAATACCAATGCTGAGCTTGATGTCAATCTTATTTTTAATAATGTTAATATTGATTTTATTGAACATCATAAACATCTAGGAATTTTCTTAGATGCTTACTGTAAATAGACTCACCATATTGATAACATTTGTAAAACTGTTACGAAACAAATTCTCCGCAAATTAAAATATACTTTAAATCGCAAGACATTAAACAGAATTTATCTTACTTTTTTACTCCCTCTGCTTGGATACTGTTGCGAAGTTTGGGACGGTTGTACAACTGCCAATGCAAATAAACTTGAAAAACTCCAGTTAGAAACGGCGCGTATTGTCACCGGCCTGCCGTCTTTTGCTAGTAGAGAGTCTCTTTACTTCGAAACTGGTTGGGAAGTCTTGTCTCAATGTCGCACCCGCCGCAAACTTCAACTTTTCTACAAAATTCACAGCAATATGACTCCCTCTTACCTAACTGACCTTCTCCCGCCACTACCTAACTGACCTTCTCCCGCCACTAGTAGCTACTTTAACTCCTTATAATTTGAGAAACTCTGAAACTATTCCATTCCTACTTTCCGTTTACAATCTTCACTTAACTCGTTCATACCTTCTACTTTAAGATTATGGAATGAGCTTGACACTAATATTAAAACTGCACATTCTTTTAAGAGCTTTACAAACTGCCTCAAAAAACAAAATGAAACATTTAAAGTGCCTGTTTTTTACTTAGCCGTTGACCGTAAGTAAGTTAAATATTTTATTAACCAAACTCCTTCATCAATGCAGCCCTTTAGATGATGATCTCTTTAATGTTTATCTAATCAACTCTCCTATCTGTGCATGTGGATATCCTAATGAAAATGCTCATCATTTCTTTTTTACATGCAGTATATAAACTGATCAAAGATTTCAGATGTTTAAAAATCTTCATGAATACTTACCTCTAAGCTTAGAGAAATTAGTGTATGGCCATGAAGATTATTCGAGTGACGAAAATAAAAATTTATTCATATATGTCCAACAGTATGTATCGAGTACTCGCAGGTTCTAGTATGGTTACGTTCTTCTGTCTCCTCTCCAACAGTCCTCATTATCTTTCATATTCATTTTTTAGCTTGTGTCCGTATTACATGGCAAAACGTACACTTGTGTGTTCCTTATTATTTTAGTAAACCTCTGTAATGTTTAACTTTCTTTTAAGTGCACGAGAGCGTGAGTGCAAAAAGTGTGCGTGCGCTTGAATGTATGCGAGTGAATGTGGAGATGTTTCTGTAAATAGTTCCACTTACCGTTGTATATAATGTATGTAATATAGGCATGTGATGGGCCATTCAGTTACAGTCAGTGCGGTGGAAACGAATTTTCGAGAAAGGATGGAAAGAAAAGGAGAAAGCCACAAAGCACGGGACGTGACGAACTGTTGAACGGTGAAAGTATGGAATAGTGCCAGGATATCACTGCGCTGGCTGTGCTGGATGGTTCCATTTTCATGACAAATTTTAAAATCTACTATAATTTGTACATAAAAATAAGAATGAATGTTTGCATTATATGTTGAAAGTAATAATCTCTCTCTCTCTGTCTCTCCCCCTCCTCTCTCTCTCTCTCTCTCTCTCTCTCTCT